GGTTTTGCTTGGAAGGGCTTAAACTTGAAAGGCATGAGGATTCAGTGTCGTAAGAGTATTGGACAATGAGAGAGTATTGTAAAACAGGCTATAAGATGATTTGTGAAAGAAGAGTGGCAGGTGTTTATCATAGAGAACCCAAGAAGAGCACCCATGAAAGAAGGCATAAAATCAGCAAAGGAGTCAAAATGACCTCTCATGAAAGAGATTATGTAGTGCAAAAGAAACATGCAGAAGTTCAAACAAGGGAAGAACAGCAGGCAGAGCCTTAGTGATGAGAAGCTTGAATTTGCATGTGTTATCATATCAAAGTATAACTCCTTCTGATACCCCAATTTTGGACTCTGAGTCGCATGAGTAGCATCTTTTTTTTGTTTGATTTATTTTTTGCATTCAGTATGTGGCATTTTTGGTGAGCCTTAACTTTCATAAATTTAAAAAGAAATCCTTGCCTGTTAAGATATTTATGGTTCATCTTCTATATTTTCTCCTCTTGATTAGGTGCTAGATACCATGCCTTGTTGATTCCTAATTGTCCAGGGGCTGTGACTGACCTTGCAAACAGTGGATACCTAGCAAGGATATTACAGCACTTCAGCACAGAGAACAGTAGGTAAACCCTATTGGAGATCTTTGGGGGTTTTTTGTGCATTTTTGTTCAGTAAAATCTAGAATGTGTTCATTGTCATTGGTCAATGCAAGATTTTATTTACTTTACGTAGGAAGTTTGCACTAGTTTGTAAGCTATTGATGATATACCTGTCAGGGTTTGGATTACTTACATACCATATGCACCTGGATCCAAGATGACTTTGCATTTAAGATGACCACCCAATAATTTGATTCTGTAAATGGAAATGTATTAGTATGTTATCATTTTCCATATATGGAATGTGATTGTGGGAGGGTACTACTAAATTTGTTTCCACACTGCTGTGGTGGGGAAAGCAAATGTGGCAGGAGGAGAGAAGCAGCTTTGCCCTTCCAATACCTGCCCCTTGGTCCTTGCCCCCTTGCTATTTGCTTCCCCCCCGTGCTGCTTGTCTCCACTGCTGCCACTTGGCCTATGTGGTGGCTATGGCCTGGGACAGAGCACACAGTGGCCTTGACCCCAGCCAAGCAGCAACAGCAGTCCATGGCCTGGATTGGGGCCAGAGCTGTAGCCATGGCAGTTTCCCCCTGGCTGCATGCTACGTGGTGTGCCTCACTGAACAAGCCACCTTGAGCCACTCGGGCCCCAAAATGGCAGCAGCTGTGGCAACAGCTCCAATCCTGGGCCCAGGTCAGGGCCAAAGCTGCAACAGCTGCCTGATGCAGGTTGGTATTTGAATCTAAGACCAGGCTTCCCCTACATTATATTTAAAATCCAGGCACATAAGTAGTTGTAGTCCCAGTTGAGCTCGAGTGCATGACATAGACTTAAAATTAAGCATGCACAGAACTGTACAGGATGGAGGTCAACCTTTGTAAAACTGACAAGCAGAAAAACCATTGAAACCATAGAACACAAATGAAATGACAAATTCACTTTCAGAATGCAAACTACAGTAATATGAGAGATCTTATGTTTGTTGCTGTTACTTTCAGGGTATTTACAATTAAGTACATTTCTTAAATGCTTTCTTATTTTCTTTAGAGCCTATTTGTGCTGTTGGACATGGAGTTGCTGCCTTATGCTGTGCCACAAATGAGGATAAATCCTGGGTATTTCATGGATACAGTCTGACTGGGGTAGGTTTGGTCGAGAGTGAGATTTCTTAGGGTAACTTCTTGCCATGTGAGGATTTTACCAACTTCTTGCCATGTGAGGTGTGAGGGAGCTGTGCCACAATAAGTGATAGTGCATGATATTTTATGTTGGGGTTTGAGACCCTTTGGTCCACATCAGAACAATTGATCTGGTGTGTTTGCAGTTTTGGAACACAGACTTTGTCAGGATTGGCCCTGACAGGAGGTATTATAGGATGGTGAGCTGTGTAGGGGGATCTAAACTGTATATACAAGGGGTCTTTTGCATTTTCAGTTTTGAGCAGTACCATTCTGACATTTTCATAAACCACAAATAAGATGACACAACTTCTAAGCAGATTCACTGCAACCTTTCTGGCTGATATTTAAGGGCTTTAGGAGCCACAGACTACTTTGACTATTCAGTTTCATAGATTCATAGATGTTAGGGTCAGAATGGATGCCAGTAGGTCATAGAGTCTGACCCCCTGCCCTGGGCAGCAAAGAGTGCTGGAGTCGGACAGCCCCAGCTAGGTGCTTGTCCAGTCTCCTCGTGAAGACCCCCATGGTGGGGGAGAACACCATCTCTGTTGGAAGCCCATTTCAGATTCTGGCAACCCTTACAGTGAAGAAGTTCTTTCTAACGTCCAACGTAAATTTGCTCTCTGGCAATTTGTGGCCATGGCCCCTAGTTACTCCAGGGGGTGCCCTAGCAAATGGAGCATCTCCTATTCCCTGCTGCCCTCCCCTGATGAATTTATGGGCAGCCACAAGATCCTCTCAGATCAGCTATGACTCCAAGATCCCTTTCTGCTGCTGAGAAGGTCATCCCCCAGCCTGTAAGTCTGTTGGTGGTTCTTTTTGCTCAAGTGCAGCACTTTGCACTTGTCTTTGTTGAACTGCATCCTATTCCGTTCTACCCATTTTTTCCAACCTATCCAGATCTGCCTGGATCCATTGCCTACCCTCTGGTGTGTTAACTTTGCCCCATAATTTGGTATCATCTGCGAACTTGGACAGGGTGCTCTCCACACCCTTGTCCAAGTCACTGATGAAGACACTGAATAGCACCAGTCCAAGGACCAAGCCTTGCGGGCCTCCACTGCCCGCATTTTTCTGGGTTGATATCAACCCATCCACCACCACTCTCTACATGCGACCCCCTAAGCCAATTTGCCACCCACCTGACTGTGTAACCATCTACATCACAGCCTGTCAGTTTATGTAGGAGAACAGAATGAGATGCTGTATCGAAGGCCTTCCTAAAGTCTAGATAGATGACATCTACCTCAACTCCTGCATCTAAGCATTTTGTGACCTGGTCATAAAAAGAAGCAAGGTTAGTAAGGCAGGATCTACCTGCAATGAACCCGTGCTGATTTCCTTTCAGCATTATTTCCCCTGCTGGGCTCCCACAAATGTGATCTTTTATGACTTTTTCCAGAGTCTTCCCAAGGATAGAGGTGAGACTAACCGGCCTATAGTTCCTGGTTCCTCCCTCCTCCCCTTCTTGAAAATGTGGACCCCATTGGCCCTTTTCTAGTCCTCTGGGACCTGACCGTAGCCAATTCCTTCAGTATTCTTGGATGAAGTTCATCTGGGCCCACTGATTTGAACACATCCAGCCCCTCCAAGTGCCCCTTCACTAAGCCTGTGCTAACAGTGGGTGGTCTGGTGTCCCTCCTGTGTCTGTCTGTGATCTAACTGGGAGATTTGTCTTGGTCTGTGTCTAGGAATACAGATGCAAATAACTCATTGAAGAGCTCAGCTTTGTCCTCCTTCTGTCACCAATTGCCCTAGTTTGCCCTATAGGGGTCCTATGCGCCTTCTTTTTGCTCCCTATATACCTGAAGAAGGACTTTTTGTTGTCCTTAATTTTTGTTGCCAGCCTAACTTCTAATCCTGCTTTGGCCTTCCTAATTCATTCCCTGCAAGTACGAACCAGGGAGGTACGCTCCTCCTTGGTAACTACCCCCTGTTTCCATAGCATGTATACCTCTTTTTTTGCCCTTAGGCTTTCCTGGACTTCCCTGTTCAGCCAAGAGGGCTTCTTGGCCCCTTTGCCCCCTTTTATGTGCAATGGGATTGTCTCCATCTGTGCCCATAGGATCGCTCCCTTGAGGATCAAGCACCCTTTCTGGACCTCCATTTCACCAATGCTCTTGAGTTTTAATGTCTCACTAACTAATCTCATGAGCACACTGAAGTTAGTCATTCTGAAGTCTAGCACTTCAGGCTTGCTGGTTACTTTACCCACCCTTTGCTGGATAGTGAATTCAGTTAATCAATGGTCACTGTCCCCTTGGTTACCTTGTACCTGCCACCAAGTCATTCCCTGTAGCTAACACCAAGTCCAGCAAGGCATTTCCCCTAGTGGAATTGTATACCTCCTGCGTTAGGTGGAGGTCCTGTGTGCAGGTTAAGAACCTACGTGAGTGATTAGATTTGGCTGACTGCTCCTCCCAGCAGATGTCAGGGTAGTTTAGGTCACCCATGACAACCACATCTCTCAACCACATCTCTCAACCGCATGGCCTCTGAGAGCTGTCTAGAGACTTCCAGGTCTAGCTCATCCTTCATGTGAGGTGGTCTGTAGTCTACCCCCACTACCAAGTTCCTTTCCCCCTCCCAACCCCCTTGTATCCTGACTCACGCTATCTCGGTTTGGCCCTCCTCTGATCCCATCTTGATTATAGAGGATCTGTAGTGTTCCTTAACATAGAGAGCAACACTCTCTTTTCCCCACTCGGCCCCATCTGTACAACCTGTAATCCTCAATGCCTAGTGCCCAATTGTGAGTAGGGTCCCACCAGGTTTCAGTTAATCCAACCAGGTCAAAGTTGTTGCTTGCGAACATGAATGCAAGTTCCCCCTGTTTGTTTCCCCATGCTCCTAGCATTAGTGTAGAGACATTTAAGCCCCCTGATGGGTCCCCTTGGTATCCCCCGTCCTGATGTCTGTCGGGCCCCTTAGTGCTTACGTGGACTGGTCCAGTGCATTGCTTGTGGCTCACTGGTCCTAGGTTCTTAGCCTCTGCTTCCCCATCCCCTGACAAACCTAGTTTAAAGCCCTTTGGAGGAGATCAGCCAACCTGTAAGAGAACAGGCTCTTACCTTTAGAAGTTTAGTGCCATAAGCATGACAGTTTTTAATTTCCTTTTTTTAATTTTAAAGAAAGATGGCTTAGAAAAGGGCTGTTCATGCAAGTTAAAAGAATTTCAAACTAGGGCAGCAGTTACTGATCTCTTACTCATCCTATTGTGCTGCTGTGCTGTGGGGTCTCAGGTCTCACACAGACTAAAGCTCATCTATGCTAATTTATCAGGGTAATACAAAAGTTTCCTTAATGCAGCTGTTATGGATGAAAATATACATGCACATTCAGGAAATTATAAGTTCTGGTTCTCATGGAAGCTGTAATACAGGTTCTTTGTACACACATTGGTATAATTGCATGTGGTGTAGTTAGTTTTTAATATAATAATACATACATTGTGATCCAGTTATAGTTGCTATGGAAACAATAGAAATGAGTTTTCTTAGAGGCATGTAAAATCTGAGCCAATATGTTAAACTGTAAGTTGTGGGGAAGCTTTAATTAAACGTGCATTCTACAAAAAGGAAATTACCTGATGATGCAGTTGGATAATAAAATGTACAGTTGGGCAAAAACACTGCCCTGTGTAGCCCAACTAGCTATTCTGGAGATACAGTGTGGAAAACGAGTTAGGCCGGGGCGGGCAATTATTTCGAGCAGAGGGCCACTTACTGAGTTTTGGCAAGCCATCGAAGTCCTCATGACAGGCAGCCCGGGGAAGATGAATATTAATTTTCTAAATTTTTTAGGGGCCCTGTGGGCCAGATAGAATGGCCTGGTGGGATGCATTTGCCCACCCCTGGGTTAGATGGAGTTAATTATGCATACTGTTTTACAGCATCCAGGGTTGTCTTCTCTACCCAGTTTAATTAGTGGCGTGTCTTATGTTCTGCTATGAATGCAGGATGGCTGATCCATAGAGTGAAACGATGAGAGCTGTCTCCTCAGCACCTTTTAGCTAGTCCTGAAGGCTAAGGGCCATAGCTTTAACTAAAAGCAGAGAAGTTACTCCAGATGTGGAACAAAAGACTTGTTCTGTAGTTCAGGATGTTGCCATAAAGAATAAGCACATTCTAGAATTGTGGAATTATATGTATCAAATGTATTTAAATATGAACATTATCAAGACCACAAGGAAAGGAAAGTCAAGCAGTATGTCATTGGAAAGGGAGTTGAGCTCTTTTTATAGCATAAGTCTATAATTCCATCCTTACTGATGATATCCTGTGACTGCAATGCTTTGCTCATCTCTCATAAGTGCAATTACGTTGAATTTAATGTAGGTGAGGCTCAAGTAATAAGGATTATATTGGAGATCATATAAGATTGCTATTATTGCAAAACAACTTGAAATTGGAAGTGAAATTATATTTTAATTGCAGAACTTGATAGTATATTGTAATATAGTTATCAATTCAACCACTGTAGTGGTTCCGAGAGTCTTTGGACCAAAGAAATCACTGTCAATCTTCAACATTTTTTGCAGATTACCATATCCCTTCATCAAATTTTTATTTGAGAAAAGGGGGCAGGGTGGAAAGCTAGTCTAGTGGTACAGGTGATAACCTGGGAACCAGGTACAACTTCTTGTCCCCGTCCTGTTACTGACATTGTGTGTGACCTTGAGCAATGTCCCCTGTAGGAGCCATGGAACCGCAAATTCCCCTAGATTATTTGTAATCTTGAGTTCCTTTAATGTAGGGGTGACCAAGATGCAGCCCACGTGCCAGCTCTGGCCCGTGGAGCTGTCATCTGGCCTGTGGGGTACCCCGTGCGTCCAGAAGTGTGGTGGTGGGGGAGTGGTCACAGAATTGAATTGCCAGATGTTGTGGCCATGTCCCCTGGATCAGACCTGCAGGGTTGGATGAATTGGACATCACTGCCTTAGCTCTGTTGACAGAAATATAATGTTGGTGTGGTCACAAAGTGAATGCTTTGAAAAGGGGATTGTGGTGCAGGCTTCTTACAATAGCCCTTCAGACCACCAGTGATCTGTGGACTGTAGTCTGGGAACAACCAGCCTAATGGGTTACTTCAGAAGCTTCTCTTCTGGTTTTCTAAGCACAGTGCCCTAGTCTATATCTATAACATGGGCAAAGGTGTTCACTGGTCATTGTTTGTAGAGAGCTTGTAATAGGGGAGTAGAGAAGATCAGCAAACCCCATGACATCCACTAGGGACATGGCTTTCCCATTCTGCTAAAATCAGATGCTTTCATATGGTATCAATGCAAAACCAAAAGATTGGTTGAAGCCCCAGAATCTTGAGCATATACACCAAGGATGCACCAAGAATATATCCTCATTGAGAAGGTCCCATGAGCATTTCCAATTTCCTACCTCATTTGAGTATGCAGCAAGCTTCCAAAAAACATTTTTTTATGTGCTTTAAGGGTGAAAAACCTTTTGGGAGGAAGGAAGTCTGGACAGAAAAAATGAATTGTGAAGAGCAGGCTTACCTTATTAGTTATGCTTGGTTTTCTTTCTAAAATCAAAGTAGATTTATCTACTTTTCCTGTTTGTTTTTCAGCCTTCTGTGTATGAACTGGTAAGACAGCCCAATTTTTCCAGTTTGTCCATTATCGTGGAAGACTTTGTGAAAGACTCTGGAGCTACGTTTAGTGGTATATCACTTCTGAATCATCTAGCATTACTTTTAATGAATGGGTATTACTGGTGAAAATGTTTTTGTGTCCTTGCTATGCATATGAGCAGGACCATAATAGAATAACTGTTATTTCTCCCCATGAAATACAAGATATAACACCTATAAGAAAAGGCCTTGGTATTTTAAAAATGTTTTAAAATCGCAACTCTTTGCCCATATTGGTGATAACTCCCAGTGGCTGGATTGTACCTGTATCCTATGCAACTGTAAAAGGCAGTTGGTATCTGCATCCATCTACACAGTTCTGTTAATGCACTTCCCATGGCTCCAGGGTAGCTGAACATGCTTTTTAGATTTACATGCACCAAAAAATTATTAGTTAGTTTGGCTTTTTTTGATTCCATGCCTGTGGGCTCTCTCTGAACAAAATATTCAGTAGCCTGTTGAAACAGACTTTGCAATACTAGTTTTTTCTCAAGTTGATACATCATTTTTGTGTGTCAAACAGTTTGACTTCCTTTTTCAAATAAATTATTAAAAAATAAAGCTTGCACAAAAAACTTAATGTTTAAAGATGCAGTCAGTCCTCTAAAATGTACATAAAGACAAATATTTGTCATCTGTCAAAAGTGCTTCCTTAACCCTAGTCAGTGTCTGCAGGGGAGTCTCATGTTCTTCTCTTCATATCAGCCTGACAGTTTCTTTATGTTGCAGTCTATGTTAAACTTTGGTGTTTCTTTAGTAGCAGTTTGACTTTCAGTTGAAAGACCTCGGGTTCCAGGACTCAAAAAAACAATTCATTGAGGGGGGGGAAAAAAAAAGCCCAATCTTAACTTTCTACCCCAACTTAAATGCCTGCTGTTCTGCTTTGTTGCTGAAAGCTCAGAACAGTTTTCCACTTTGCTCTATGTGCCATATTTACAGTGGTACTGAAGATCCTTGGAGATAATGAAATAATACAGTGTAGAACAGTGGTCCTCCAGCCTTTTGGCCCCATGAGCCAAATGAGTGGGGCAGGCCTTGTATGTGGGCTGGGATAGAGTCCTGCATGTCAGGAATGGGCCATGGGGCCCAGCACTGCTCCCTCCTGCCCCCCCCACACAGATTGGTCCCTGGGGACCTGGCCTTGCCCCTGCCCAGCTCTGCCTGCTGGGATTGGGACCTGGGGCTGCCCACTCCCAGCCTCCAGCATGCTGAGATTGGGTTCTGGGACCTGGCGCTACCCATGCCTGGCCACCTACACTGGGATTGGGTGCCTGATCTGGTACACAGGGCTTGGGGCTCCCCATGGGTTCATAAATTTGGTCTTGGGGAAGCAGTTCCACTGCTGTCTCGCCACCATATTTCTAGACCTATGGGGAGCAGGTCAGATGACACAGTTGTAGGTTGAATCTGGCCCATGGGCTTGGGCTTGAGCATCCCTGTTGCAGAAGGGCTGTGTTCCTTCATTATAGTGGTCTGTCATGTTCCTGTTTGTTTGGTATCTGAAACTGGAAATTCAAGTGTAATTTTTTTGATTCTGCACCTGAAAAAGAGAAGCCTAAAGTGTTTAAACTTTTTGTTTTGTCTTTTGTTGATGTGACTTGAAATGGCCAAAAGTTAGGAATTCTATTTATGTGATTTCTAATGGAAACAGAAATGGACCTTTTTTGTAAGACATGCTGTCATGCATATACACTCTGACAAGAAAATAGTTGCTAGTATCTCATCCAACTCCCATGTGCCCTTTTTTCCTGTTTTCACCACAAGTTGTTTGTGTGTGTTCCCCTTTGCTCAGCTTTTTTCTCCAAATAATTTTATTCAGTAATAATAACGCAGCATCACCTCCATAGTGACTGCTTGTGATGTCATATATAGAGGTGCACCAGTACATTGGTCTGATGTTGGATTGGCACCGATGTAAAGAAAATTGACTGTATCAGAAATCAGCATGATGTGGCCGATAAATGGCCTGTGCATGTGTGCAGCTGCAGAGCAGCGTTGGTGGTGAGGAATGCAGCTCTTTGTGCAGCTGGTGAGTCTGTTGTGGTGGAAGGAGCGTGGGGGGGCGCAGACCAGGGCCCCTGTAGTGAGGGAGGGACTGGGCCTGGGGCAGGCACTGCCCAGCCAGGGTGGGGGACAGGATGGAGCCGCGGCTCGTCTGGGGGGCGCATGGGTTGCATGTGCCCCCAGGATCTGCGCAAGGCAGGGTGGGCTGCCATTGCAGGCTGGGGCCAGGGCTACACCAGGCTCTTCCCGGTTGGGCTGGGCTGGGCTGGGCTGTGCTCGGGGCAGGAAGCGGTACTGGGAGGAGGGGTTGAGGGGGCTACAGTGAATTTTGGGGTGGCTGTAGCCTCCTCCCAGCACTGCCACTGCCTGCCCCGAGCACAGCCCTAGCCTGCAGCTGCAGACTGCCCCATCCTGTGCAGATCTGGGGGCACATGACCCCTTCCCCAATGCCCTTCTGGGGTGTGTGCAGTGGTGAGAGCTGCCCCCCGCTCCCTGTGGCTCCATCCTGCTCTCCGCCCTGCCCCAGCTGGGCAGTGCCTGCCCCAGCCCCACTTCCTCCTTCACCATGGGGGCCTTCCCACTTCCCTCCTTCCCCCATGCCACTTCCCTCCCCTCTCCCCTTCCACCACAACAGACTTACCAGCTGCATGTAGCTTTCCATGCTGCCGGGCTGCATATCGGAAATCAGATCAGTATCTGCCGATATGCCTCCTTAAAAATCGGCTATCGGTATGGGCTTCAAACCTCTACTGGTGCACCCCTAGTCATATAGACTTGGCTGAAGTATTACTGAAGCATGTGGGGCAAGAGGAGCATACACAGTACTGTACTGTTTTTACCTCCTCACATTTGGATAAGCAGCAGTGGTTGCAAAGAAGTGGAGGGGGGGAAGGAATTGAGACAGGTTAAAGGAATCTGGTAAAAATAGTGCGTGTAAAAATAAATAAATAAACCAAAAAAACCCCACCACAAACTTTGGTAGAGAAGAGTTGGGACATGCGTAGTGAAATAGCAGCATGTTTCCAGTAAATATTGAGATAGAAGGCTGTTTTCACAATAGAGGAAAAACAAGTACCTTGCCACAGCCCATTTTTTAGGGTAGTGTTTACTTGGTCTCTTGAGAGAGAACCTTTTATAATGTATTGCAAGGTGACTAGAAGCTAAAGAATTGCACTTCAGTCTTTTTTAAACCAGTGTATCTCCTTAAAATGCAGATTCCCGCTGATGAAGAAGGTGCAGCTGAAGGGCCAGTCCTGCTGTTGTTCAGTGCAGGAGTCTCCTCATGAAAGCTTCAGAAAACTTTGATTAGATCAGATTTTCAGTATCGGCACACGGATTTTTTTTTCTCCCCGTATCGGTCAGTCCCCAAACAGATAATTTCATTTGAAATATCATGTTTACTGCAGCCTTATTAGATGGCTGAAATCTGAATTAAATGCTATCCATTCATATCAATATTCAATATCTGTCTTTTTTTTTTTTTCCTCGGGTACAGCCAGCAAGCCAGATGCTATACACGTAGTGTTGGACAGACATCTGGTTACAGGACAAAACGAGAATTCCACTGTTGTAGCAGTCCACAACCTTGTTCTTCTCTGCAATGGCAGGTGAGGAAATATAGGTGAAGTACTGTGGGAATGGATTAATTGACCAGGAAGTGCACTGAATTTATTTTTAGGAATAACATTGAATAGTGCTGCAAAAAGGAATATAGTCCTGGTATTAGTAGAGATGTGACTTTTCTGTCATCTGGTGTACCTTCCAGTTAAGTCCTCAGTTTCTGTTTGCTAACAGTAGTATTGATGGGTTTTTATCAGGTAAAAATTCAAAACTGCTCAGAGACTGATAAATGGAAATGTAGAACTGAGTTCACAAGATCTGTGCATTGAGGGGAAACCTTTTGTGTAGTTCATTGCACTGTGGGCTATTATTTGGACAGATCCACATATTTGGAATAGTAGGAATGAACAGGTTTCATACATTGTATGTATTCCCTTTCCTTGCATCTGCCTGTAAATAAGCACCAAAATCTGCTTTGGTTCTGGGAAGGCTCTTCTAACCTACATTCATCTCCTGTGTGTTAACTGTCTGTGTCATGACAGTGGATTTGTTTCCTTCAGCAGGAAATGAAGGAGCAGGTCTCCTTGTAGCTGGAATGGATGAAGGACCAGACTGAAGAGTCTCATATCTGTGAACTGGATCTCTTGCTGACAGATGCCTCTTGGCATTTCTGTTATGGACTAACAGTTTGATGTGAAGAGGCAATCTCCATGTTTGTACATGTGGAATGAATGGATGGAACCTGTGAAATAAGAAAGCATTGAAATGCAGCGTACCTTATGGATGATTCTGATAGTCTCACTTTATTAGCACTTTTTTTTTTCTCCCCTTTTCTGATCCTGCTCTTAAGTTTGCCCTGACTTTTGGGTTTGTTCAGGTTTTTTTAAGAAAACATTTATGTTTATAGTACCAACATTTTTACTTGTAGTGAGAAATTGACTCCATCCAGGGCCACATTGTCAACACTTATTGGACCTTGGTAATTCTTCATCTTGGCAAAGCATAGTTCTGAAATATACTGTAGTGAGGCACATTCATTAATCAGCAGGAGTCTTTTTGATTTTAATATAAAAATCCCTAGTTAATGCTGCGTTTAAGTGGCTTCAGGCCTATTTTAGTCCCCTGTCCAATGAGTCACAAAGCTGGTTCCAGACTGTCTAATGGATTTATCAAATGGCAACATACATGAAATATGAAGGAGAACATTTAGTCAAATCCAGCAGGAATGGAGCAGAAAAGTCGAGTCTGAAGGCAGCTCACCTTGAAGATGCTACTGAAATTACATGCTCTTGGTTTTTCTCATTGTCTATTCAGATTTAATGTATTCTGTATAAAGGGCTTTGTCTGCTGAACTGTTGTTTTTAAGCAGCCCTCTAAGTGGTTGTTGTCTTCACTTATGCTGCTTGTATTATTTTTATTATATTTGGATGGTGTGGAATATTTCTTTCATGATTACAGTGCCATTGTCTGTTGCTTGGAATTTTGTGATGAGAGGAAAAATGTGGAAAATGTAATTACTTTGAACCAAATAGACTGAACCGTGCACCTGAATTCCTAGTAGATCAGGGATTCATTCTCACAGCTTTTTATTCCCTTTCTTTTTGAATAGCAGAAGTGAGCAGTTAATGCGGGTCATCCTTTCCATGCATTTTTAGAAACAGGCAGGCAGTCTAAGAAAACTGGACAGAGAAACTTGCATTGGAATGTGGACTCGTTCCTGGTTTTTCTTGACTACTGAAATTGAGACCTGCAATTTTGCAATCCTCCTCTTGGAAGTAGGACAAGTGATGTTACTTTAACTGTTTCTTTGTGGGAACATGAAATGCTGTAACTTCAATGATAACTGAGATCAGCTTTGTATCACTTACTGAGTGGAGTTGAGGAAATGTTTGTTAGCTGTCCTTTTTCTCTGGCTGTAAGAAATATTCACTGCTTTGGTGGTCCATATTTCTGCCATGTCTAATAGAGGACGCAAGTGATGTTGAGAAGGTAACCCCCACTCAGTGATGGACTAGAAGAAAGTAGAAGCCTTAAACTAGTATATTGGCAGATAGGGAATGATTGATCGTTTTGTGTGACTCTTTACTGAAAAATACCAATATGACTAATTTTATAAATTAATGGAAGATGAATATTATATAGCCATAGCAAGGGAGAACAGGTATGGGTAAAAAACTTGAGACTGTCTTGGAGCACACTAGCTCTGGGAGGATTCTTGGTTTTGGTTGCTGTGTGTGAAGATTCATAGGTGCTAGGGTCAGAAGGGACCTCAACAGATCAAGTCCGACCCCCTGCCTAGGCAGGAAAGAGTGCTGGGGTCAGATGACCCCAGCCAGATGCCTATCCAGCCTTCTCTTAAAGACCCCCAAGGCAGAGGAGAGCACCACCTCCCTTTGGAAGCCCATTCCAGATTCTGGCCACGCTTTACCATAAAGTTCTTCCTGATGTTCAGCCTAAATCTGCTCTTTGTCATTTTGTAACCATTGTTCCTTGTTACCCCAAGAAGCGCCCTGGTGAGCAGAGCATCTTTGGTTTCTTGCTGCCCCTCCCTAATGAATTTGTAGGCAGCCACAAGATCACCTTCTCTTGCAGAGGCTAAAAAGATCCAGTTTCCTTAGTCTCTCCTCACAGGGCTTGTCCTGTAAGTCCCTAAGCATATGAGTGGCCCTCCTCTGGACCCTCTCGGTTTCCATATTCTTAAAGTACAGCACCCAAAACTGGATGCAGTATTCCAACTGCGGTCTGACCAATGCCACATGGAGGGGAAGTATCGCCTCCTTAGATCTGTTCGTTATGCCTCTGCTAATGCATGATAAAGTGTGGTTAGCTTTGCTGATGATTTTGTTGCACTGATGACTCATGTTCCTCTTGGAGTCCACTAAGATGAGCCTCTGGTGAGAGAGAGAGAGAGGGTGAAATACTCAAAAGGGTCAAAGGAAGGGAATGGTAGAGAGATTTGCAGCTTAAACTGACCAGTGAAGGTTTTGTTTGTGATTATTTTTTTATTTTTTTTTTTGGAAGAAATGCCATGGGGACAGAACATTTGCAGTGGATTCAGATGGTGAAATATTAACTTTATTGATTAGGACTGCTGTAAAGCTGAATGACTAAAATGGGTTAGAATGAACAGTTAAGAAAAAAAGCATGGCGTATTCTGTACAAAACAGAAATGGACTTTCCAACAAGCGATGGATGGAAGACTTACGGTTTCTCATAGTAGTTTGCATAGTAGTTTGCATAATTTAAAAGCTATTTGAAAATGTATTCAATACAGCACATTAAGTTACTTTGTTTAGCTTCCCAAATGCTTATGCAGTATGTTCTCAGCACAATAGCTAGGGATTTTTCTGACACTACCATTTAATGTTAAGCTACTTAAATACAAAAAAGTTGAAGTAGAGGCAAGGAAAGGAAGAAATAAAGGGTTTAGTCACTAGGGCCAACTGTTAGAGCATACCTCTTTGCTTTCCTTCATTTTAGTGCCACAGTTAATCATGTTCCTCAGTGCTGACATCCTTTCATTTTGTTGGTGCGTATAGGTCTCAAAAGACAACATCATGAAATTAAAGTTGTAGAAAGAGCATCAGTAACATAAGAATGAATCTCCCCACTTTCAGATTTCTGGCATGAATGCTTTTTTGTGTCCCTTGTTTGGTGTCTGCCCCACAATGATGGTTTCTTGGTAAGTTGAGAAGGATGTGTAGTAGGTATTTCAGTTCTTGCATCTAAGCAGTAATTGCTACTGTCAGTCTCAAATCTCCCGCAGTAAACAGTTAAATCAGTGGTACAACAAGTTAAGTTGGCACCAAGGGCAAAACCTCTGGCAGGAGCAAGGAGTATGTGGGTTCCTGGGGTGAGGTGGGGGTAAGTGGTCACTTGGTTCTGAGAGCTTTGCGGGTGTGGGGGAAGAGACTATGCTGGTTTCAATAGTAGGGGTGTGTGGTGGGGTTTGAGCCCATGAGTTATGAGGGCAGCTGGAGCAGCAGTTTTGTATATGCCAAGAACCCCTTTGGCTGCCCTGGCTGTTGCTCTTAAAGTGGCAGCAGACAGGGACTGTTTTGGAGTTCCTGGCATGGGCATGCTGCCAGGGTACAGGCTCCTTGGGTGTGGGGGATGATTCTTGTGCCCCTCCTAACCTGGCTTCTGGGCGGGTACCCCTCTCACCTACCCCTAGTTATTAAATTTACCCTACACATCATAAATAGCAAGTGCATTCTTACTCATCACTGCACATCGTCATGAAACAATTTTAGCGTTATTTCTTTGAGAAACAAATCCAGTGTTACCTTATAGCAAGATGGGGCAGGAAGGGACCTCAGGACCAGAGCTCTCCAACTCCTTGTTCTTGGCTTAACCTTAAGTTCCTACATTTTTTTTTCTTGATCCTTATGAATGGGTCATGCTCTTGCCCTTGAGCTTTGTCAAGGCAAGAGGAAGATGCTTAGTTAAAACTTGCTCTGGGTTTCTTTGCTCTTTTTCTTACTTACAGAGTTTTTTTTACATGCAAGTTTTTTTCGTTTTATGATGACCTATAAATAGTGGCAGACATTGTGGCAACTCTGTGGACAGAGCAACTCTTTGTGCAGGACAGCATCTCCTCTGAACACATGTTATGATTCCACTGCAGCGTCAGTTGAAACACTGTTTAACTTTTTAATCAGCCCTTTGTGCAGTGAAAAGGAAATCTTCCCCAAGTGTGTGATTGCTTCACTGGATCTGGTGTACGTTCAGCTGTCAAATGACTTCAGAATTCTGAACGTAAGTGGAGCACTCAGGCTGCTACAGACATTAAATGCATCCAGTAAATATACAGCAGTGATTACAATTTATGTGTGTAGCTAGGTCATTGTTGCATTGCCATAGAGGAAGTACATTTCTGGATCGTGGGAATGAGTTAACTTTTAGTGGCCTTCTGCTTTGGAAGTTGGTAGCATGGAGGCATTGTAAAAGCTCCAGCTTCAGAACTGATAAAAGTCTAGTCTGCACACAAGGCTACTGCATAATGATACTGCTGCTGATTAGTTTTACAGTGCTCCCCATCTCCTAAGCACAGTGATGATGACCCTTCAGAAGTGTTAATATAAGTATAGCTTATCTTTCCCATCCAGAAATATCTATTCTGTTACAAGGCACTTTTATACTGATATACCTGAGTCTTGATATGACTCCTGTTATATATGGCTAGAGTGTTGGAGCAGGGCACTCTAACCAAAATAATTAAATCAGTACAAAATCTGTCTAGAATTGGCTTCAGACACTGAGGGAGCCAAATGCCCAAATCCTCTTATTTGGGCAAGTTGTGGGTTATACTCTTTAGAGCAGTCTTCCTGTCTGGTCTTTCTACGTGAGCTTTTTTAGCTAATTTATTTTAAATAGCTTACTAAAGAGGCAGTTTGAAGGGGGGATTTCAGTGAGGGGAGAGGTGTACCCTTAGAGGCTAGCTAAGAGTTTGTACAGGATGGAGCCAGGAGAGGCAGTGTTGCAAGGCTGGCAGAGCAGAGCAGAGCGCTGTGCAGTTAGAAGTAAAGGTGGCTAAGTAGGAAAAGGCAGGTGAAGGCCTTAATTAAAGAGCCTTGGAATTTGATAAAGTAAATGGAGAATGACAGGATGGGACACTGTGAAGGGGGGTCTGCTGATGTAGGAGGTGGTAGGAAGATGATCTTACTAACTGGGTGTGGTGTCATGCACTAGTCCTGTACCCTACCAGATTGGCACTCTGATCCCCTTCATATGTCTGATCTGTTGCTCTGCCTTGTGCTACCTGCCCCATCTGCTGCTGTGCTGTCTGTCTGCTCCCCTACCTGCTGTTGTGCCACACAGGCTGTTCAGTCACTTCTAGTACAGATGCTGCAGGTTGGCCACTCTGCACTAGATTATGACAAAAGAGATGACACCATAATGCCAGGCGTTGTTGAGGTATGAGGTCTTGTATTCACTACCAAAAAATGTCTGCCAGGTTTTTACCTCAGGTTGAGAGAGAAATGGTACTGCAATAGCAAACTACCTTGGGGGCCAGAGTCATCTGTCTAGGACCCTTTTGCTCTTGGCACTGGACTGACGGAGCAAAATGGAGGGGTTTCCACTACAAAGAGCTCATAGTCTAACTTCAGGGCAACAGCATCTGTTGATGGAAGAGCACGTGGAAACAGAAAGACAGTACCAGTCATTATGATAGGCAGCTCCTATGCCTAATCCAGGGTGAACACAGCTTTTAGGTGTATTCTCACTTTTCAAAAGGCAGGCTTTTACAAGCTTGAGTAGGAAGGAGAAATAAATATTGAGAGCTAGCCTCTCTAGGTTCATCCCAAAATGAGAGGGCATCAACTTATTTCTCTTCATGCAGAATCCAGCAGTTCAGAAGGATAGCTTTTTAACTTAGCCCCTCTTAGGCATTTGGATAGGTTTACATTGCCCTGAATATTGATAGCACTATTGGTTCTCAAAGTGGTGTGCATAATGAAGAGCTGAAATGATGAGAATGTCTTTAAAATTCATAGATCTTGTTTCTACTGCCTACTCAAAATAGTTGGCTGTCTTGCCCATCAAAAAGTGCTTTACAGCCTGCTGGTGAACACTGGACACTTTTTGGAGACCCAGTCATTTACATGAGCATCAGTAATTCAAGCAAATCATTAATTTTAAGTGCTTGTCTTTACTGTAGTGTTAGATTCTGGTGTAATTTAAGTGCTCCTGACCCAACACCCATCTCTAGGTCAAGTTTGACATTTTGAATTTGAGCTGGCTCATCAGAGGACATGACTAGAAGCTCAAACTAGTAATGAGGTGGGAAAGGGACTACACATTACTGCTTGAGTTAGCACAATTTATGATTTGTCAATCCAACTGTACCAAATTGTGACTGCTATCAAGTAAAGTAACTCAAAGGTGAGCTAATGCCTTACTAAAGACAAGTCATTGACAGACCAGAGCTGGAACTGAAGTGTTAGGGTTTTCACTTTATTTTTAGCCAATGTCCACAGGGATTCCAGAACATAAACCACTCTTGTGTCGCTTGATTGTGATCTTCGTATTCCCCACCATGGTGCATACATAAGTTAGAACTCCTGCCCCAAGCAAACGGCCCAGCACCTGAATTTCCAAAGCATTTAAAAATCCTATGGAATCCCACAAATTCCAATATTGTGCTCTTTTTGCAATCTTCAGCAGTGTTTTTTTTTTTTTTTTTTAAGTTCAGGAGAAGTTACTTCCTAGAACAAGATGTGTGTCTGCCTGCTTGGAGGGACAGACATCTTCAACTCTTGGGATTGATTTACAAGAACCTGGGAGTGCTGCCTTGTGTGCAGTACCTTCTAGCTCAGACAATTTGATGGTATTTGTTGAAATACAGTGTAGTAATTTTTAAACATTGTGTGTGGTTCTGTAGTGTCAGGGACTGTTGAAGGGGTTAATGAACAGAACCTTAATGACTGGGGTGTGGGAATTGGAGGGAAATATGGAGCGTATAGAGCACTTGCCATCAGACTGCTTTAGTCACTTGTGTGATTGCCTTTTGAGCAAAAAAAAAAAAAAGATTGATGAAAGAAGGCATTAACACCTAGCATAGAAATGCTCATCTCTTTTCTGTCCATTTGAGTTGAACATCTCAACACTGAATAAAGGAAGGGAGTGAACACAGGCCTCCTGTCGTACCTTGATGTAGGGGGAAAGGGATTTAGTCTGATGGAAAAGAGGGCACACAGGTACTGGCATGAAGAGAGATGTGTGGGGTGGGAGAATTACAGGCAATCACTGAAATAAAGAGGGTTGTGAGAGTAGCAACTTTGGAGGGTGGGTGGAGTCCCTGGTGCATGTTGGCAATGAATTTAGCCTACCAAAGCCATAAAGTGGGCAAGCCCTTACTACCCACTGAACCACCACTGCTAGTTACCAAGAGCAGAGGCTGTGCTTCCAGCTCTGTATGCAGGATGGCTTCTACAAAAGAGGGTTTTTATTTTGTTCTCTGTTCTGTATTGGGAATCGTGAAGCTTTTCACAATTTACTTGCAGCTGAGATGTTTACAGTGGTGAATCTGAATGAGGAAAGGGCAAAGGTGTCTTCTCAAATTTCCTAATTCCTTTGAGGCCCCTTGCAGCAATGGTCCTATGTTCTTAAGGACACGTTCCTGTGTGGCACTCCCACAAATGACTTCTTCACCAGCAGGAAGACAACACACATCACTGTGCATCCCAGCACAATGCCCACCACCAAGGCAGTGTAGTTGGTACCTGCAGGGAGAGGATAGAGGGGCAGAATATATTAAAGTCTCGTGGAGGAAAACTATTGGAGATTTCAAGTGTTAGAAGTTGTTGGAGGAGTTGCCCCATGGAAAATGCTCCAAACCTCTTTTAAACACACAAGCAAGTGCTAGTCACTGGCTTAATTTTGGTGTTCATGAAAGCAAGGCACCAGTATCACCGGCTTGAGCTAAGAGTACCTGCATTTGTCTCTGTTTTTTTTTTAACAATAGGTTCTTCTTTTTCTCGGCAGAAGTTACATATCTTTGCTTTTTTTTGGTTTGCCAAAAGATGCCCTCCATGCCTCTTAAAAGGAAACCTAAAAAGTACTGTTTGCACGCTGAAGTTCCAAGCTCATCGAAGGAGCTCTCTATTGTTATGCTATGTACTAATGAAGTCAGTCACCCTGAACAGAGGACATCCGCATGCATTACCCCTGTTCTGCCAGTGAGGACATTTATTTCGTTTTGGGTGAAATTTTTTTCTGTTTTGGCAGTAGTGGTCTCTGGAACCTTTACTCTTATTGTACGATGGAAGGGCAGCAGACCTCACTATGCACTGTATGAGGGTTTATAGATGAAACCTCTGTCACATACCTTTGGATTGTGAGGCTGGGATATGTGAAAGAGGAAGTACAAAGGGATTTTACATGGGCTCCGCTCAGAGGTCCTATATGATATTGATTCCCCTCCATGCTGTAATGGCATGCTGTCAATTACTGTAATGGGGCAAAATGATAGAGGTTTAGCATCCACATCTGGTAGAAACAATGTAGATGGAATGACATGCTTCTACCCAGCATCAAGTGAGGAGTGGAGGTAGGGATGTAGTGTTATGCTTGGAGGCGGCTGCATTGTAGGAGACAATTGGGCAGGGACAGCATTGTAGCCACAGGTGGCAGCACAGAGATGGGATTTGGACTACTGGGAGTGGATTGGCACGAAAACAGTGCTGAACAGTGTGGCAGGAGGGAGCAGCATGGAGATAGCATTGTGGCTAGGGTTGGCATCATAATGAAATTATGAGCACAGAGGCAGCACTGCAGCTCAAGGTGGCAATGAGACATTGCTTTTGACAGCACCTCCCCCCAGCGACTAGAGATGGAATTGCAGATTCTGGGACTGCATGGTGACCAACAAATTGTGAGTGGGGTGTCCCAACAGAAGCTCAATGTCAACAGGACAGTTATCCACTGGACATTCAATGGGAAGAAATGGAGTAAAGGGCTGGTTCCTGAGATCGTGTTAGGGGAGATGCTGGGCCTGCTATTTATACCAATCACAGGTGTCAAACGCACCCAGCTGTGTGGGATGGATTGGGACCACACTAGAGCCAAGCATGCAGGGCTGATCCAGGATTATGCATGCAATGCATGTTGCTGATCCAGCTCTGCATGCCACATGCAATATGTCAGCCCTGCTCCAGGATTTGCACCACATGCAGCATGCAGGCTGGACCCAGCACCACAGGCTCTGCACACAGCACAGAGGAGCCAGGATGAAGTATGTAGGCTGCATGCGGCACCTGTGCCAGACTGGCCCTGTGTATTGGCTCTGGGGCCTGTCTTAATCAGGCATCAGAATGACTGTGTGTGCTGGAGCCAGCACACAGAGCCAGTCTGGTAGGGAGCTGCAGGTCTAGCATGTGCTTCATGGGGCTGGACTGGCTGCATGAGCTACACGTGGTGTGGAGGACCGGTGTGGGGCGTGCACTGGGTGCAGTGCCTGGCCAGACTAATCCAGCACGCTGGCTCCAGCGTGCACGGATAGCATGGGGCCCAGTCTGGACTGGCCCCAGAGCCAGCACTGCCTCCAACGCATGCCCCAGACAGGCCCCCGGCATTGTGTGCAGTGCCTGCAGGGCTGGATCCAGCCTGTGCACCAGACCAGCTCTATGCACTACATACAGGGCCAGTCTGAGACCTACAGGCCAGATCATAGGGCTCCACAAGCCATATGTTTGACACCCCAGTAGAAACACAGGGTTGATTCTTCTTTTTTTCTCTGTATTTTCCATTGTTAATGCTGTGGTTCTTTCCCCCTTAAATAAGGCAAGGAATGCCTTGATATAAGATCAGTGCCTACAAGAGGGGAAGCATTGCTTTTTCAGGTGCCCTTGGTAGATGGTGAAGTTTAAAAAGAAGCCCTACATGTTAGAAACCCACTCTTGTTGCTGCTGACAGTACCTAGCAGAATGGTTACATTTTTATTTGTCTGATATTAACATCTGCATAAGCTTAAAGAGATGAAGTTTTTTACCTAGAGGATTCTAATGTGGAATCTAAAGAGAAAGGAAATTAATGCAGCAATTTATGATTCTTTGGTGTTAATGGCATACGGTAAGCATTGCCATCTCCCTTTCTGGCCTGGAGCTCTGCTGTAGTTCTGTCATGCGGTTCTTTGCTTCAGTGGCTGGATTGTTTCTCCTCTAACCCAAACCTTACGCCATAGCACTGTTGTCAGGCCTCACCAATACATTAAAGTAATAGTTGGCTGCTGCATCCCTCTGCGGCTCCTGTGAATTACAAAGGTCATCTCAGACTAATCAAAATTACTCAGACCTGATCCAGAAGCCTTCCCTGATGTACGCACCATCTTGAGGACCAGATACTCCATTGTGAGGGTTTTTTTAAACCAGCAGCAAGCAAAGCAATTACAGTTTACTGTGGCTTGTTGAAGCCTTTTGTCAGATAAGATGACTAACAGGCATGTGGGAAGTGTCTGGTACTACTCTCCCTACCAGCTTGGAGTCAGAAGTGCAACATGACAAAAAAATATCCTGTGCCTATTCTAACTTTCAGCATTGCAGACTGCTCATCGAGGAACTGGGTTTCACAAAATCATAGAAAAGAGGCTAGAAGGGCCCCCACAATCCATCCTCCCACCCCAAACAGGATTAGATTGTTCTTAAACCATTTCTAAACTGACCTGATAAATATTTGTCTAATCCGCTCTTAAACATCTCCAGTTATGGAGATTCTCACACCCTCCATAGTTATTCTATTCCAGTGTCTAATTCTCTTCACGGTTAGAAAGTTTTCCTGAATGTCCAGCCAGAACCTTCCTGTTGCAGTTTCAGCCCATTATTTCTTGTCCTACCCCAGAGGGGACATGGAGAACAGTCTATAACCTTCCTCTGCAGTAACTTCACTTGAAGACTTATTGTGTGTCACCCTTCAGTCTCTTTTAAATGAAACAAACCCAGTTCTTTCACATCTTTCAATTACATAACATTGAAGCAGTATGGTAATGTCAAATCACAAGTACCCAATGGCTCAAAAAAAAGAAAAGGGAGGGGCAAGGATAGTTAGGGATCTCTTGACCAGACTCTCCAATCTATAAAAATCAGGACTGTCCAATCTCACTTTTTATTAACATTAGGACTACCTAATATTTGACAACTGGCAACCTCAATCTGATTTCCAGGGACTGTGCATCCTTCACTGGCTCCCCGTTATGGTGTATCTTGTGGCTTAGAGTTTACCCTTATAAGTGGCAGGGATATCAAAACCTAAAGCAAGCTGCTGCTTGTGCTCTCTATGGCAAAACCTTGTTCCATTGGGATAATATACCAGCCTGCTTCCAGCCTTCCCTCTTGTAGACTGGGTCAAACGCACCAGGAGTTTAATAACTTCTTACCACTGGAGGGGCTCTTGCTGATCCGGATGGGCCCAGCACTGATCCGATAGATCTTTGTCTCCAGCATGTTCCTCAGGGCATTGTGGCTTTTAAAGGACTTGCACCCTGAAGGACATAGCCTGAATTTGCTTGGGCTGCAGCACAGCTTCACATCACAAGTTACAAACACCTAGAAACAAGGACAGCAGATCTTGGTTAAGTTGTAATTCCTAGCACTGACTCAGTGTTTTATCAACCTTCCTCCTACATTGCTGCTTGGGATTTTGGATTATTTGTGCCCCTGTGGCAAAAATTTTCCCTTTCAATGGATTGGCCACTGTGGATAGCCCTCTGTGGATTGGCCATCTGCCTTTCTCTCTGCTACCTACTTTTGAATTTGGGCTTTCATGATGGAAAACAAGAGAGAACTTTAATGCAAATACAGGCTGTTTTCTTTTGAGCTGGCTTCACTAGTGAAGTTGTCTTTGCTTGTGTTTTTCTGAGCATGTACAGGGTTGGAGGGGCTGCTTGCACTGAATTTTCAGGAGACAGAAGATGGTTTCTCTTTCATGTCTAGCACATTTTGCAGAAGGAAGAAGGCAGGAGCCAGGCAACACACTGCTCAGAAGCATGCTGAGAACATCCATGGTGCTACTGTATGCATGGATAAGTGTCTGTCAAGCACTCTGCATATGCAAGAAGAGGCACATACATGTGCTTTTTCAGGGAGGGAAATATTTGTTTTTAGGGGTAGGAGATGGATAGGAGGAGGTGTTTCTGTGTTTTCTGATGTGTTCATCTGGGTGTGGGGGAGAACAGAGAGAGCAAGTGGAACACACTTAACTCTCAGAGGTCTCTCACATGTGCCAAAATGTGGCTTCACTGAGATAGAAGGTGTAGCAAAGCAATGAAGCACCTCAGGAACCACGTCTGCTATGGAGGCAAGCCTGAGGCTGTAAACCTTGTCCTTGGAGTCTTCCAAACTCACTTCTTTGGCTGCCTTGTAATTCAAGCAACTGAAAGAGGAAAAATGCCTGTCAGCAATGTTGCTATCTCCAGGCCATTAACTTACTTTCTTTCATATTTGTATATGCTTATGCAGTGGTTACCACTAAACACCCAGGCTCCCATTCTTCACTGGAAGGAGTGTTTTTCAGGGGAGTTACACACTAGTTGCAGTGCCAGTACCTTGGGACTGCCCTCCTCTACCCTGCTGGCCTGTGAGGATAGTCTCAGTGATGTGTGTCAGCAGGGTATAGCCTCTGGTCCCATCTCTGCTGCTCTGACAAAACCCTTCAACCAGTGGGAGGTCAGCCTTTTTCATAGTAGAGTCAATTTTAGGCTGATAGGGGCAGTTCAGTCTGTGGTCCTTTTGGTTCTGGATTTGTCTAATGGGCCTGATGGGTAAGGGTAGTTTTGGGGGCTACAGATGGACCGGAACAGAAACCACCAGTTCTTTTCACTGGATGGCTGTGAAAGGGTCATGGAGACTCAGGCACTTAAGCAAGACTAGATTTGATGTGATCTGGAGGCAAAAGGCTCTTACCCTTGTTGTATGATGAAGAAGCCACTGGAAGAGTCCTGGTTGCCCAGCACCTGACAGGACTGCACAATCAAGTGGGCATCAGCCAGGTCACTCTTAGCTGACACGCTGATAAATAACTGGTCATTGACACTGGAATTAATAGAAGCCCCCCGCTCCAGCAGTCTCATCCCATCTGAGGTCTTTCTGCTGAACCTAATGTCAAAGCTGACATTGCCAAATCCTTGATCTGCCGGGCTTGCAAAGGGGCAGTAGGTGCTGCCACTCTCCTCCTGTTGGTATTTGCAGCTCACTGGGATGGCAAGGGTTTTCTTAAATGCAGGTGCTGACACTCCTCTGTGCTGACTAACTATTCTATTGGTGAAGGTGAAGAAAGACGGGTTTCCCTGTAGGCAGGAGAAGAGGCAGAAGGGTCAAAGTAATAGGCATCAAAAATGAGTGTTTCAAACAATAAGGAGCACACACCTCTGATACAGGAAGGTTTTCTGCAGAAAATACCTAATGCCCTCCACCGTGTATTCCCTGTGTGTAGGGAAGCAAGCCTGAGAGGTGGGATGGGATGTCTAGCTTAAGCGGTGGTCTGGGACACAGAATATGTGACAGCTTTGGCTCTAACACCAGCTTCCAATGTGACCTTGGGGAAGTCACTTAGCCTCTCAGTGGTCTAGCTTAGTGGAGATGTCGGTACTTGGTTTAATTCAGCCTTTACTTGGCTCGACCCCTGTAGATCTGAAAACTATGCAGGGCCGGGAATGTCCCTCACAGTATGTGTGTACAGCACCTTGCACAAGCCTGCTTTCAGCAGTGGGGCTCTGGGTACTGCTGCTACATAAAAATAGATCAGATTGTTGGATTTGCTTTCTCTTCCTTTTCAGTGCCTACTGGCTTGATTAGGGACAGTGGGTGCACCACTCCACTTTTACACCAGAGCCATTTAACTTTGGAGTAGAAGTGAATGGATGCACAGTTCACAGCCTTACAATAAATCACTACACCCTAGGGTAAAGTTATCCTAAGTTACATCAATGTGCCAGTCTTGTGTGTACTCCCTGTAGTCCATGACCCCTGGGGGTTCATAGGCTGTTTAAGGGGTCTGCAAAAGGTGACTGTGATCAATCAAATTATAGGAATACCCACACCTACAATTTAAAGGGGTCCACACCTCCATGCAAAAATTTTTAGGGGATCCACAAATGAAAAAAGGTTGAAAACCACTGCCTTAATCAATGTTATCCTGTGGCAGGAATGCACATTGGCTCCCTGCCACCTACTGGCCAGGCACGGTAATAGTGTCTATTGAAGGCAGCCTGTTTGGGAAAGTTTGTGTATCTTACTATGGTATAAATCAGGGGTGAGCAAAATACAGCCCATGGGCTGTATACAGTCTGCCAATTGATCTTATCCAGCCTACTGGGAGCCTGGGGAGGGAGAACTGCACCCCATGCTACTCTGCTCTTCAACAGCCAGGACCAGGCTGGGCTGTACAGCATGCAGATTCCTCTGCTCCCCTACCCAGCTTCTTGTTGGTGCTTTGGCTACACAATCATGGCACTGTGGCCACCTGCAGCCAGGCCCGCATGGGACAGGATGCAGTGCAGTGCACTGAGTAGCCATCCTGCCCACAACAATAAGCCGCCGCTGCCATGGTGCTGTTAGGAGGCCTGGGGCAACCACCCTGACTTTCCTGGTTCAGCATGGCAGCAGAGGCTTATGGTGAGTGGATGGATGGGACAACTACTCGGTGCACTGGATTGCACCCTGTCCCATGTGGGCCCGTCTGCTGGTGGTCACAGTGCCAGGACCACACAGTGCTAACAGGAAGCTGGGCAGAGGGGAGGGATGCATGTGGAGGGGGGCAGAGGAGTCTGTGCGCTGACAGTCCTGGGTGCAGCCCTGACTGCAGAGCAGTGTAGAGTGCAGTCTTCCCTCCTCAGGCTCCTGGCAGTGGCTAGCAGGACAGATAGGATCAATTGGCATCTCCCCAGCCCTCAACAGCTCACCCAGGACGTCCTTCTCCCCTTGTACTCGGCCTTGGTGAGGCCGCAGCTGGAGTACTGCGTCCAGTTTTGGGTCCTACAATTCAAAAAGGATGTGGAGAAGCTTGAGAGAGTCCAGAGACAAGCCATGCGCATGATCAGAGGTCAGGAAAACAGATCTTACGACGACAGGCTGAGAGCCATGGGGCTCTTTAGCCTGGAAAAGCGCAGGCTCAGGGGTGATATGATGGCCACCTATAAGTTTATCGGCCACCCCTGATGTAAATGCACTATGGAGTGAAATCTGAGGTGAATTACTCAGTAGTAGTAATGTTTATGTTCATGCCTGGTGTTCCAGCTACAGCACAACCACAGATTGTTACAAATCTAGTAAAACCGATTCTGTGCGCCCCTGGACTAAAGCTAGATTGTCCAGTCCCCTTCTCCCCCCATGGGCTGCCACTGCACAGTGAGTAAGAACGACAGGCCATCACAAACGCTCCAAGAGTACCTGTTCCCTGGTTCCACCCCCAATGAGTGGGATCTCTACCAGAAGGTGCGTGCTGTTGCTGCTGACCAGGCACTCAGGGTTACTCCTCTGCAGATCGCTTTCTTGCACATCTCCTAAACTAGATCGGGGAACAGAGAGCTGCATTCGATCCTCGAGACACAGCAGAACTATGAAAAGGAGGTGCCAGACAAGGAGAGAAACAGCTTTCAAAAGGAAGAAGGTCCACTGTTGAAAAAGGAGAGCAGGCAGAGCCTTTCCCAGGTATGTCCTTCTGCTGTCAATCACACACATTCGCAATCAAAAAGCTCCAGTGAACATGCCATATGCAGTTGAGAATCGTGGGTGACACTGAAGTTTCTCTCTCTCTCGTTCTCTCTTTCTCAGCTGTTCTTCAGAAGATGCCGTCAGCCACATTTTCAGCTGCTACTACCAGTATAGCTGTACTGCAGCTGATGGAACCAGATTGGTTTCCATCAGCCCAGAATATGGCCAACTGAATCTCTAGACCCTACATGGATTGCAGCAGCCCCAGCTTGGCAGGGTCAGCTACTAACATCATTGCCCCTACACTATGAGGGCTAAACCTAGAGCAGGGGGAAGGGCCAGGAAGCTAAGTGCATGGCCAGCTGAGCTGGAAAGGAAAGGGGTCTACCCAGCCTGTGGGCTTTAAAAGGGACTAGGCTATGTATGGGGGGAGTGATGCTGAAGGGCACCACTCAAGGGATCCATTGGCATTGCTGTTCATCCAGGACAGCGACGGGGAAAGCGTTTTGCTTTTTTTTCTGAATAATGTATTTCCTTGTGGGGAATCAGATAACAGATGGGTTTTAGGGATGGTCACAGCCTCCCTTTGTGGGGCCTGGCTTTGGAGGGACAATAATGCGTAGGGGCATTTCCTTATGTGCGGGGCAGGAGAGTTGGAATAGGTAGGGATGGGAGGGAAGATGTAGAAGGGGAAATTGCTGTTTTCCTTTACAGAGGTATTGAATGTGGGTTGGGAAGTGTTGTTGAGATGGGCAGGGGAGGATGCTCTCCTCACTCAGGGGAGTGTGAGGGGGTGGGGAGTATTGCTTTTGAATTTCAAGGGTTTGGGGGTTGTTTTGCTGTACTTATTTTAGTACTTTATTCTGTTCCCATTTCTTTGTTTTTTATTGTAAGCTGTCCTGAGCCTTTTTGAGAAAAGCAGCATAATAATAAATTAATACTTCAGAACAAATAGAAACATTGGTGAAATATAAGATCCAGTTCCTTCTCCTGTACTCTAAGCTGGTGTCCCTCTTTCTTTGCTTACCACTGGCGCGTTGTTATTAGGGACTGACTATCTGCTGAACCTTGGACCAACCCACATTGGCAGGAAAGACGAAAATATCTCCTTACCTATTTTTATTTTTTTAAACAGCTGCTGTATGAATGTGTTCAGAAGTTTGGGATGTCCTACTTGGTAGGTAGGTAGGTAGATGAGCTAGTTAAGCATCTAAACTCAAAATATTGGATTTTTTTTCACATTCAACATGCACCTTTTATCAGCTGCTGGAAATTGAGGTACACGTTATAAGTGAGAGATAACAGTAACCTATAACCTGGATACCAGAATACGGTAACGGCAGTTTCTGCAGGACAAGCCTCTGCTGGGAGAAAGCAGAAGTAGCACTACACCTGCTCCACAGGGAGCAGCACAAAGCATGCTGAGCTCTGTAGCTGCTTACTACTACTTAGCAGTATTTTCAATGAAAGACCTATTTTTTCATTTATTCTGTCAAAAACAAGATGTGTATCTTATTCTGGGGTGTGTTGTATGCAAGAAAACCAACACCCCAGAAGATATGGTAGATATTACCAAGCTGGGCCAATGGCCGCTCTAACTTAGTGCCATTTGCCATATCACCCTTCACTTCTCTGAGCGGCAAGTGGCCCGTGGAGAGGAAGCCTAGTGATGCTGACAACACCAACCTGTAGGGGCCACTCTGCTCCTTCACCGATAATGCCCAGGGCTGCAAGAGGATGGGGAAGTTTCTTGCAACTTCGCTCATTAGCTCAGGTGGGAGTGGAATCTGAGATATTGTGCAAACAGGAGAGACTGCTGAGACAGCTCTTGAGTTTGGTTTAAATGGTGTTGTGTTGGTGTTGGAGCTGTGGCAGCCCAGGGAATGTGTGAGAAGCAGAATTGCTTGGTGGTATCTTTTGCTGGACTAACTGTATAGTCAGAAATAGCAATACAAATGGTTCTATTTGAAATAAAAATAGTAGTGGCTCTATTGAGGGGAGCAACAGGCTACAGTTAGACCTAGATAGGTTACAAGGATGGGCGGAGGAGAACAGGATGGGGTTTAACACGGACAAGTGTAAGGTGATGCACCTGGGGAGGAACAATCGGCACCATACATACAGGCTGGGGAACTCCCCTCTTGTCAGCACGGAGGTGGAAAAGGATCTGGGAGTCATTATTGACTCCAAGATGAACATGAGTTGGCAATGTGGGGAGGCGGCTAGGAAGGCCAACTGCACCTTGTCGTGCATCCACAGATGCATCTCGAGCAGGTCCAAGGAGGTGATCCTCCCCCTCTATGCGGCACTGGTCAGGCCGCAGCTGGAGTACTGCGTCCAGTTCTGGGCGCCGCACTTTAAGAGGGATGTGGACAGCATCGAGAGGGTCCAGAGGAGGGCCACTCGTATGATCAAGGGACAGCAGGGTAGGTCCTATGAGGAAAGGTTGCGGGACCTGAACCTGTTCAGCCTTCAAAAGAGAAGGCTGAGGGGGGATCTTGTGGCCTGTTATAAACTGGTTAGGGGGGATCAGCAGGCGCTGGGGGAGTCCCTGTTCCCCCGAGCGCCGCAAGGAGTGACCAGGAACAATGGTCCCAAGTTGGCGGAGGGAAGGTTTAAGTTGGACATCAGGAGGCGCTACTTCACGGTCAGGGCGGCTAGGGTCTGGAACCAGCTTCCAAGTGAGGTGGTGCAGGCTCCCACCCTGGGGGTTTTTAAGAGGAGGTTGGATGACCACCTTGCTGGGGTCATTTGACCCCAGTGCTCTTCCTGCCATGGCAGGGGGTCGGACTAGATGATCTGCTCAGGTCCCTTCCAACCCTAGAAACTATGAAACTATGAAACTATTTGAGCTGGAGAATCCATATGAACAGATGACCTGAGATTTTGCAGCTTTCCCACGGGGTGGTGATGTTCCACTTAAACCTCTGTCTGTATACTCAGCCAGTGGCATAGTTGAGCAATCAAGGATGAGGTGCAGAAGCCAAGCATGCAGAGCCTATAAGCAAACTCCCCTCTATTAACAGTTAATTCTCAGCATATCACGTGACATTGCTGTTTACCTGTGCCCAATGGAGAAGCAGCAGATTCTGCAAGAGAAAGTAAAAAAAAAAGTGTTTTACCTCCCTATTTTACAATAGGATGTAGTACACATTTACTGACAGCCCTTGTTAGAGGTACACTGAGAGGCTACAGACAGTTGGCCTCAGCCAGAGGCTGCAAGTGCTCTGCACTATGTTCCAGTCATAGGAGCAAGAGAGAAGGACAGTTGCCTGATTAGTCAAAAAGTCTTCTGCCTCTGCTCCCCTTATGCCCACCTCAGACCTGAACCTATGCCCGCCTCAGACCTGAACCAACATCATCTCAACATTTTGCCTTTCCGAGTCCTCACAGTGGCTGTGGACAAACATCATATTTGCAGTGCTATATAAGTCATTTTAGCACTACAGAAGTTGGGGGGTAGTTGTGCACACCCCCTGCAGTGCTACAGAACTGTCCCTGGGTGAAGCAGGAACACCTCTAGTACTACCTTCCGTCCCACCACATGTAGCATCTGTCCAGTGCCATGTAGCACTACAGAGGGGCCTCTCTGTCCCCCAGCATCCTGCTGCAAGGGTAGACTTCCTGAGATCCCTTCCAGCCTTAATATTTTATGATTCAATGACAGTCACTAAGTGCAGCCCCAGGGCAGGGCAGGGCAGGGCAACCTGCCTGCTTTCTCCTCCCCGCCTCTACCTCTTTCCACCAAGGACTAGGCTGTCAGCAAGCAGAGGAATGGAACTGAGCTTGCCCACAGCGAAATGAACTGAAGCCTGGCTGGAACTAGGCTGCAGCTCTGCTTGCTGGGTGAGCGAGCCCAGTTGTGGTCTGACAGTGACAGCCCAATTGTGGGGAGGCTGCAGCTCTGCTGGCCATGCCCCACAGGGGGTGGCAGGCTGTCAGTGAACAGGCTCACTGACCAGCTTCCTTCCTCTGTCTGATGGAAGAATAAAGCCACAGGGCCAAGCAACCCACAGTCACTCTCTGGCTATAGAACATGCCACTGAGTGTGTTTACAGATGTGCTCTGGGAGGCAGGGGGAGGGGCCTTTAATTAAAGCACCTGAAAGTGTCATGTGTATCAGTGTCCCTGCACTGAAAAACGGTGATGGAGCACTTTAACTTAAAGTTCGTCAAAGAAGCTTTAGTTAATGTATCCCTGTCGCCATTTTTCAGCACGGGAATACTGATACACGTGACGCTGGAATCTGCTGGAGTGCGGTAATTACCACGCTCCAGCAAACTCGATTAATCAAGTCTGCTCCAATGCATCGTAATAAAAACACATTGGAACAGCCTCTCTGCACACGTATAGGCACCCTGAATGTCTTCACAGGGACTCTGTGGCACTACAGGTAAAAGCCTCTGCATGTTTATTTATGCCTTGTATTGCTACATTTTTGTAGTGCTTCAAAATGCTGCAGCACTTGTAGTGTGACAAATGCATGTCTGTCTATGGCCAATGACACCTGCCTAGCTACACAGACAGCACCCCTCACCCCATGCCAAAGTTATCCTGCCTGTCTTCCCTTTAACAACAAGCACCCAGACTCAATTTACCTAGTTTTGCAGCTGAAGCCTCCCCCTTCTACAGATGCCCTAGGCATGCAAATTCTACTATGCGCAAAACCTGGGGCTAGTCCTGCTTTGTTGCCAGCTCCAGCCTCCCATATTAGAGCAAGCTGCTCACTTATAACTCTGCATGCCTGCACAATACTCAAGAGGACAGGAGTTTGCCAAGTTCTTCATTCTATGACTGCAGCAACCTGCAGATCTGAAACCAGCACCTAAGTCCATGATTCTCAGCAAGGGTGTTGTGGCATTTTGGAGTGCCTTGATAGCCTTTAACAGTGCCACAGGATGCCAGTGTTAGCACCGTTGGTGTGCAAACATGATTCACAAGAGAAACACAGAGATTTCAAACAGGAATCCATTGCATTACAAAATTTCTGCCCTTTTATGGTCCAAGTTCCTTGCAACAGACAAATTCATCTATTATTTTTCTGTAGTCAAAAAATGAGTGAAAACTCAGCTGGCATTTTCTACGGGGTACCTTGAGTCTAACAAAATTATGAACCACTGACATAGCTGGTGAAGACAGCAGGGAAATGAGCTCACATGTTACCTGGAAGGGAATGTGACATTAATCCTCTTATCAATCAGACTGCTACAGAGACAAGAGGAGATGAGACTGATGCAAAGACCTAGGTAGGAAGCTCCTATCAGGGCAGCATGGCACCATGCTGACCGTAAATCAGCATTTCAGGAATTGATTTTGCTCAGGCCTCAGCAAGCCAAAAGCAGAGTAGGCATCCTGTGCAACCTGCCCTGGCCTGGGCTTCTGTCCTATGGGAGAGGTGGGGGCAGCAATTAGGTCACAGGCTGAAGGGGAAAAAAGAGAAGGAAGAAAATGGCTGTACCCAGATACTCACTGTGCACAATCCAAATGCATCTGAGCTCAGACTGTAACCTAGACCCCAAGAAGAAATGATAAGTCATGTGCCAATACAGAACAGCTCAGGCTTTAAGTCTCCCAAATTACAGTGAAAGTCATGCAAACAGCAGAGCCCAGGGGGGCCTTTGGCTTTGCTCACCCTGACAATGTAGTGGCCACAAAGCATACAGAAATCCGGCGTGGTCTGTTGGCGTTCCTGCTTTCCCAGGTGACATTTGCAGACACAGTGTGAAGGTCATCTGCCATCCAGAGGTGTGACGTGTGCAGTCCATGGGGACCCAGAACCTGCAAGTCAGCCATCCTGCCAAAGAAAAGCAAGACATTTGCAGGGTGAAGTGCTGAGGAACATTGTGACTTTCACTCCCAAGTGATCCCAGAGCTGTGATGCACATGTCAATGAAGGTATATCTACCAGGTAGCTAATGGACTTGGATACCACACTGACTGCCATCAGGCTGGACTACTTAATATGACACTGCTTCTATGCTTTCTATGTAGGCACAAGAATAATACTGTGCAAGTCCTATCTGCACTGGTTGGTGGGTACTACTAAGGTGGGACTATAAGATACTACACGTATCCATCTTGTTTTATAGATCACACATTGGGAAAGGTGTGGCTCACTCTTCTGATATCAGTGCAACAGGATTTGATTTTGCGCCGCTTTTTTAAAGCATTTGGGCTAAAGGTGCAGAACCCAACACACACCTGCAGAAAAGAATGGACAAAAGTGGGAGACTCACTTCCACTGCAGTAAATACTGGATGATCTGTTGTCCTAGCCCTGCCCAAGTGAGATGCATAATCCCCCTTGGGAGACATGCTATGACCAACTCAATCCCTGTCATGATAGATGCAGTACAAGAGAAAGAAGGTTCTGGCAGCATCTTCTTGAAAAGTCTGATGAAAACCTAGCAGTCTGATCAATGCACCACAAGAAGTCTGTGTACAGACTCCTGTTGACTTCTTATGCTATGGATGAGACCCTACATTTCCTGGGTACTTTCCTTGTAACATACAGCAAAATGTCAGTCTGTGCTCAGAAGATAAAGACGTGTTTAGGTAATCAGTGTGTTGCCAATGTGTTGGATTGAGAATAATCAGATATGGAAGAATCTGTTGGGGTATCAATCTGAACCACCTCTATTGAGTGGATATCAGGCACTGAATATGGCACTTTATCGTAGCCAAAAATGTACCGATGTATAGGTGTTACAAATCAGAAATCAAGATGGTAACTGAACAAGATGCTTATTTTCTTGTTCTTTGTTACATTCTGTTTCAGAGTCAGTTTAGTGCTGTGGGAGGTACTGTATTGTTAGTCATAGAGACTGAACTCCTCTGTTACCCACAGCATAGGAAACTGAAGAGTCTATCCCAGGAAGGGTTATGTCCATACTGGACTTCTGAGTTGTGTTTTGATGTGTGTTACTTGTTGACTGTAAAGTCCAGTGAATGCAAGGCACTAAAGTTGTTTTGCTAATACTGTTTGCAGACTCTACAAGGCAGTGAGTGCCCACCCACTAAGTTAGTGAGAGTTAAGAATGTTTAGTGCCTTGCAGGATCAAGTCACTAATAAGCATGTTGTTAATGGTGATGAAGCCAACAAGGGCTGGCTGTGTGTTTTCTTGGCTTGGTAGTGCTCTACCATTTTGGCTGTGAGAGCTACATGTCCTTTGTCATGACACTCACCTTTCTCCTGCGCTGACACTTGTCACTGTAAAGGAAACATCCTCATACGGCAGCACATTGATCCTGTCCCCATTGTCTGGGGTTGGGCTGATAAACATTGGCCTTCTGATCCCAAAGGGACAGTCCTCTACTGGTTTATCCACTAGAAAGTAAAAGAGAAACCACACACTGTCTTGGGGCCATTTCCTTGCCTCCACTGACATCTCACACCCAACACATATATGCTTCCCACTAACTCTAAAAGAGGGCTGTTCAGCTGCTGAGTGGTCAGGGGATCTCAGATTCCTCTTCACACCTCTCCCTCATGGCACATTGCATCGCACAGTGGATGCCCTCCACTGAATTGCACTGGTGCCCCTGCACTACTTGTGGTCCCTAGGTCTTCACCCCCACAAGTCTCCCAGCCACGGGCTCTCTTGGCCTTGCAAACTGCTCCACACCCAGGGGCAGGGGCAGGGGGAGGAGCAGAAAGCTGGAGGTTTAAGGGGGAGCCTGGAGATTGCCATAGCAGCAGCAGGAGAGTGGTGAGGGGAGCGGTTTCCAGACTGGGAGCCTGCGAACCACAGGTTCACCCTTTGCAGGATGCATGCTGTCCACAGACCACCAGTTGGACAGTCCTGACCTCAAAAATAGAACAGCTGTGATGCAGTACAGAACAGTAGCTCTAATCTTCAAGCCTGCCCTAAAGCAATGCAGTCGCATCCAACTCCCTCTCCATCTGATAGGCACGCTATCTCATCCAGATACATCCAACGTAAACAGCAGAGTATCACTGTGAGGTCAGTGGTTCCCAACCTTCACTGGTGCATGGGCAACAATACTGAGCAAGTAGTGTGCTGTGAGCAGCATCATGCTTTGTTCTCCCTTGTACACCTGAAGGTGTATCTGTGGAAAGCAAAGTTTCCTGTGGCTGTGAGCAAAGATAGAGGGTCTCATGGACAACATGTTGTCCAAAAGCCACAGGTCAGTGCCTTAGGCTGACTAGAAGTCTGAGCTCCTAGCCAAAGTTATCAATGATGTGATCACTTCTATTGTATATATTTTACAAAGTAATTTCCCCCAAGATTCAGTAACAGATTTAGTATGTTTTTTCTTTCAGAATCATTAGAATATTGTAGGGGAAATGGCAGCTTTTGATTTTGTTTGTTTTTATCCCCCCTGCATACAGTTTCTCCCTCTTGTAAAAAATGTGAAACAGCCAAACTGTGTGACATCATGGTATACTATAGTAACAGACATAGTGTCACAGAGCGATGACATCACCATAACCAATTATGACAATTGTTAAAATGCCAAATACAAAAATTTCATACCACAGCTCTGATAATAGTGATAATGTCATAAGGAGAAGGCTGTGACCTCACATTGTGAGGTAAGAAGATAGAACCGATCATTAGGAAAATTAGTTCTGTTTCCATGCACAGCTTTTCCAGTCAAAACTCATAGAATAATAAGACTGGAAGGGACTTCAAAAGCTCATAGAGAATCATGGAGTCAGAGCAGTCAGGCTGGAAGGAACCTCCAGAGGCCATCTATTCCAACCCCATACCTGAAGCAGGATTATCCCTATCCAAGCCATCCTATACAATCCATAATCTACACTGTACATAAGACTACTGTCAACCCTGACACAACACAACAGCCTAACACCCTAACCTGCCACAGGTGAAGTAGGGGAACCACTGCAGCCCAATGTCCTGCTTCTGTTAAATGCTGTCAATATATGCTCAAGAGATCCCAGGTAGAGGACCATGCCCCCACTACAGAGGAAGGCAAAAATGCCCACAGTCCATATCAATCTGACCACGGGGTAAAATTCCTTCCTGACCCCAAATATAGAACCTTCTGCTCAAGGCATGATCATCCCTGTCTAGTTACTCCCAAACAAATGTCAATGTTTCTCTAAGAATCTTGCCAATGGAAAATTAGATACAGCATTTTTTTTTTGCTTTAGGTTCCTGTAGGTTATGGAAATTCCTTGGGAATGATGTTTCCCATGCTGATTGTTCAATGCTTATTGCACATGCTTTGGACTGGAGCAATTACCTATTAAGGTGAACTGCAGAGGGACAGAGCTCAGGGCTTCAATCCTTTCCCCTCCTGAAGTGTTGTATGGGTGAATCTCTTGCATCCTGGCCCTGGATTTCAGAACCACCATTTTCTTTGGGAAATCCTCAGCCATTAGCTCCACAGGGTACATGCCTTCAGAGCCTGTTCCATCATACATAAGAGTGCATCCCTCCTGAGACCAAAAGAAAAATACATCTGAAGCCCTGAGGACTATAGCACCAGGATTTTGGCCCTCTAGGGCACCTATACATATGCAACAAGGCTGCTCCAACACGTTGTAATTACAGCCCATTGGAGCAGACTCAATTAATCTGGTAATTACTGCGCTCCAGCAGACTCCAGCATCGTGTGAATTAACAGCTCCATGCTGAAAAATGGTGGCAGGGCACTTTAACTAAAGCTCATTCAACAAGCTTTAGTTAAAGTGCTCCAGTGGGGATGATGATACATGTGACATGCTTAATTAAAGTGCCCCACCCCCACCCCATTCCCAGAGCACATGTATAAATGCCTCCAGTGCCTAGTTTACTGTTTTGAACAGGCATTTCTCAATGTAGGCTGTGAATGGGAAAGGATATGATAACTAGAGCAGCAAGCCCAAAGCACAGGCCTACCATTTTAAATCCAGACTGGCAAAAACCTAAGGGACTGCTAAGATTGTGGGTGCTGTAAAGTTGGCATTAGAGCTAAGTCTGTGGAGCAGGGACTGTATTTTTGTTCTGTTCTTATGTGTGGCCTAGCACAGAGCTTCCCAAACTACAGACTATAATCTCAAGTTGGGTCACAGCCCTTAGGAGCTTAGGAGCTGGAGTGTGAGCATAGGAGAAGTTTGATTTCAGAAGTGGGGCTTGCTACAGGGAATGACATTACACGCCTGGACAAGAAAGGACCTTTCCAGGTCATTCAGCCCAGCCCCCAGTTACCACAGGCAACTAGATCATAAGCATTTGTCCACAAGGGTCTACATTAATACTTATGCCAGCCTCCACTACATGCCACAGCCACAAAGTGCCTTCTAACCAACTTAGAACCATTAGTATAAAAAAAGTTCAAAAAACAACCCCCAACTCCCCAGCACATTGTTTCACAGGAAGATAGGTGGGACAAGACTACCAACAGTACTGGTTGCCAATGGAAATGTTAACTATTGGCCATTTAGCTAGTAGTTTTAGCCAAAAAGAAAAGCATTTTTAAAAAGTTGAACTGCACTATTTTGGTTTTCACTTTGAAATGATGTGTTTTAAAAATTTGTCT